CAGCAAAGACCTTTGCATCGTATTTGCTAACAAAGTGGAGTTTTAGAAGCAACTGCCCAGAGTGAAAGCGAACAAAGCTGCTGAATGTTGGGTTATTTAGCTTCTCATTTTTTAAACATAAAATAAACAGCATATCCTATTTCTTGTACAGCGTAAGTATGTTTAAAACTATTCCACAATTTTTGCCATGCACATACAGGTCACACTTATGTTACTTCAAATTAAATAATTTTTAATAAAGTGAATTCTGTCACTTCTCTTCAGTTGATTAGTACTCTTGCCTATCCTAGTCGATCAGCTTTTGAGGTGTGCATAACCTTTCTTATAACAATAAATTACCCAGCTCATTAATAAGCTATGCCTAGTTTTATGGAGTCCAATAGCTTCACATCAAAGAACTCAATTAACAGATCTAGATTATAGCTCCTAATTTCCATGTTGCTTAGAATTGTTATTAAAACTATGAAACTGTTTTACTATGGAAGAGAGATCTAAAGAGATCTTTTATATATATACATACATACATACATACATACATATATATATATATAAATAATAAATGTGCTATGTGCTACTTGATAAACAGGTATCAGTACAAATGCTTTGTTTAGCAATATTTCTGTAAGCCGCCCGGACTCACCATGAATGAGTTGGGCGGCCATATAAATTGCTTCAATAAATAAATAAAATATAAAAAAGATTTTATTTGATGTATATATTTTATTTCTTTGCTTGTTTGCTGGAAACATTTTTCCCATTTTTTCCAGGGATAGCTCCTAGAGTGATTTACAGAGATAAAGAATTAGACAGATCCTGTCGAGGTTCACAGACTTCACAAAATCATAAAGTGGCTCATTGGATTTTGGTATCGGCTGATGTGAGAATCCGGCCATTACACTTCATAGACCACAAATTATGACATTGTGTGTTGTGTAAATCCAGCCAGTTGTAGTTTATTCAGTAAGTGTGAAATGCACATTCAGCTAATGAAAGCCTGGATGTTGATGACAGTTTGCACATCCCTCAAGTATATTCATTGTTCACTGTTACTAAACGCTTGCAAAGAATTTATGGTGATAGTTCAAATCTGTCCCTTTCCTGTGTTATTTTATTGACATATTGACAATTACATCTATAATGACTTTCTATATCAGTATTTCATCTGAGTCACATTGTTGCACTTTCCGTTCTGCATATCCTTAAAGTTTAGAGTACAAACATATGTTAAGTAATTTTTACGTTATCCTCCCTGATCATCTTCTTTTTGGGCGATCATTATATAATCCTTATATGGCTTTTGGCTTACCAAATTAATATATGTACCATATTCAAATAGCATACAATTAGGACTCCCCCCCAACACACACACACACACACACACACACACACATTTCTGGTTGACTAATGTTCTTGTACTTAGTGCAATGCCATTGGAGGTTGTGAATTTTTCTAATCCTCCCAAGAGCTCTTTGAAAAAAAGAAAGTTATGCAACAAATTCTTACTGGAGTGTAAAGCTGCTGAAGAGTGTTTGCTGCACTGCCAACTTGGCAACAGTTTTTTTCTCTAATAAAAGAAGTTACCCTAGACAGAGATTCCAGATGTGCCAGAACTATTTTTATTAGGGGCCCAACTGAAAGTGCATTCAAGTGAAGTATGCATTCTCTTTCATATTTGCCAAATGTATTTTATTATGTCTCAGGAAAAAGGGCACATGAAATAAGCATCATTTGTATATTTTTATGACTCATTAATTTTAATACATCTCTCTTTTATTAAAATTATTGTAATTAAAAGTCATTTATATCAACCTCCCCCAACCTGGATTCTTCCAGATGTTTTGAATTATAACTACATAATCCCTGGCTATTGACCATCCTGACTGGGAGGGACAAAAGATGTAGGCCAAAACATAAGGCTGGACCTGTTAACTGAGAAATGTTTGGGTAGATCATACTATTTAATCTAATATATTTATATTGATTTTATTTTAATAATTGAAAAAATAACCAAAAATGTAAAAAACTGCTAAAATCTGTTTGAACTATGGATGCTAGAAAAGATTATGTTAAATAATGCTTTTACAAATTGCTTATTGAATTGAAATGCATCATTTTCTTACTCTTAAATCTCTGACCTATATTTGAGACTTCCAGTGCAAGTACACTAACACTGTACTTTCCATGATACAGAAGAGAATGGTCTAGCTTCTCTATGGGGTTCAGTGTGTGCTTTGAACTATGCAGTGGAGCTGGAAGTAATAGGAACACGAACCACTATAAAACTTGCTTCTGGCTTAATTTTTCAACTCAAATACATCTAGATCAGAGGCAGTCCCAAATGACTCAGGGCCTAGGGCTAGGAGATCGGGGCTTCAAAAATCGATAACTGCTGCTTATCATCAACAAGACATAGAATTCTCTAATTCTTTGCATTCATCTAGCAATCAGCTAGATTTTTGCAGACCAGATCTGGCAGTTCTGTCAAAGCAAGATCTGGGAAACCCATTCCCACTGACTAACAGGGGAAATCCACAAATGGCTTTACATTTTTTTACTTTTTTAACAAAATGGGACAGAATGTTCAGGCACAGTAGCCCTGTCTGAATAGATGAAGCGTGCCCTATGCTTTATGCTGGTCTTAACCATAATAAAGATTTGATTTGATTGATTTGATGAAGCCTGCCCAGTTTCAGAGACGTAGGTATAGTGATTTTGGAACTAGGCTCTGTTAAATTCTGGTTTTTAAAAAAGAAAAATGCCTTTTTTATCCTGAGACATAATTAGATGACACAGTAAAGGACAAAATTCAGCATTTCTCCCATAAAGCACTGTAATAGGAGAGCCTCTTATCAGTCACCTTTTGTGATTTGAAGGTAAAGTTGTTAGTCATTCAACACCACTCCTCTCTCGCACCGCTTGCACATCCCGGCATTTTATGGGGAAACAAAATCTATATATAAGCTTTGTTATATTTGTTTTTTTGAAGAGTTCCAAACTACAGTCACACCTTGAAGCCTTGTGACTCTTGCCCAAGGGAGGACTGTACTTCAAACTCATGGACAGAACTGATCTAAAGTGGCTAGTCTGACTCAATATTCATTTCCATAACTGATCACTAACAGGGATTGTAATCAATTCATAGTTGATAAAATCATATTGATAAATTGCTTTTAAAAAATGCTGTTCATTTTGAATATTCAGCCTCTTTTTCCTTATCCAGTTTGCATGTTAACAAAAAAAATATACAAAATTGAGTATACCATTAGAAAGAAAGAAAAATTGCTGCAATTACATCAAAGTATTTATTGTACAATGAAGGTTTCAGTCTTGAGCTGATTGGTTAGTATCAAAGTCTGTAAAGTATAATTGCTTTATATAAGTGTGTATAAATATATATAGAAAAAATAGGTCAGCAAAACAAATTCAACAAAAATTAAATCACCAAAAATAATTTAAAAAAAGAAAGAAAAAAGAAAAGGAACTATATTTCTATCTGCTATTTTGCCCTATTGTAGACATTTAAGCCCCGTTAGAAGCTGAACTGTAAGTGATTATATTTGCCATGCTGTGTGGTGTATTGTATGTATGGGAGCCATTCTTTTTAAATTTGGTTAAACTTTTAACGTGTATATATACTGTTAGCTTTGCCGTTGCCGCGTATTCTCCAAGTTTAAGTTACCAGTCAGACATTTTCAGACCTGTATCTTTCTTCCAGTGTTGAACAACATTTATTCTCCCTGCCATAAGCATATATCTCATTGCTTGTAATATAAATGTCCCAAATTGTAATTAATATAGATAATTTCTTTCTCTTTTTTATTTCCAATACTCCAAGTCATCTAAACAGTAGAATGTTCTTAATTTTAATTAATACTGCACAAATATCATTGTACTAAAACAATATAATGTATCAAAATTTATAATATAATAAAAGAGCGGGGGAGAACATAGACCATCCTGATTTAGAGCTAGTAAAAGGATTGCATCTTTGAAGTCTTGAATTGTTATCTTTATTTACTATCAAAACTGGAACACTGGAAAGAATCACCGCCCTAAGAATTCTGTTTCATATAAAATCTGAACTTATCTGGTAATGGTGCTGTAATAACTTGAAAGAGACAACACAAGAGATGTTTAAACACTGTGGATTAATGATATGGTAGAAAATTTAAGTGTATTTTGGTTTAGTTCTGTGAACATAATTTACTACTCTTTGCAAAGTGTAAAGTGTGGTCTTGGAGGCATCCTGTGGGTTTGGGATGCAGGTTCTACATGGATTAAATGTGTACTCTGGTCAAAATAATATGTGTTTATTTAGTATAATTTACCTAGCACCATTGGTGTGCATGATATCTTATGGGACATAAAATAAGGAGCTGCAGATCAGTTTAAATCTAGGACATCTCAGTAAGACATGCTATCAGGTTTGTTTCATCACATTTTCTGCCAATTCAAAAAATCTTGTAATTACCTGTCAAGCCCCCTAGCAGCAACCCATAACCAAGAAGATGCGATTCTCACCGAGTCTTATTAATCAGATTCATTGAAATGAAAAGGGTGATTAACTGAATACATGTGACTTTAGCTCCTCATTTTTCAATACGTTTGCTAGGGTAGGGATTCTTTGATCCTTCTGCTGACTGTCTCTTAAAGCAGTGGTGAGGATGCTACTTGCTTCCCTGATACAGGAGGAATGGGCAGAAGTTCCAGCTTTCTAATTACAAACGGCCATGCTCTTTCTCAAGCTCTAAGTTTATTATAATGCCTTTTCTTGATATATGGATCTGCATGGAACTTTCTCCAACATACAGTACACATTTGTATACTACTGTCCCTCATATATACTGTTTTGTACTGATTTTTTTTTAGATGTGTTCTTTTGTGTCAGGGTTTGTTAGTTTGCAGGTGCCACTAATGCAGATATTTTAAGGAAATATTTTAGGAAAGTATTTAGGAAATACTTTAGACAATATTTAAGGCAGACATTTGTGGGTTCCATAATGTCTGTTCCTGTTTATGCTGTAATAGATCCCATGTTGGTGGACTATGTTAATTCACTTGAAAGAAATCTATAGAATATTTCTTTTACATCCCTAAGAATTACTTGAAACAATGCATAAGTTAACATTCAACACAGGTCAAGGAAGTAGGAGATAAAATATGAACATAACATTCAGGAAACTCTTACAGAACTGGTAAAATGTGTATTTTAAAATCCTTTTATAGCTTCTAAGTTTTCATTCACTACTTTCATAGGTTCCAGATTCAAAGAGGAAAATATGATCCCTCTGGGTACAAGAGCCTGGGCGACAGTTTTAAAACCATATTCCGGACAGAAGGGTAAGAACACCAACATCCATTATAATGTTATGATTTTACTTCTTAAGAATATGATTGCATTGCATTTCATTCATTCCATATTTGTATCTTGTTTTTCATTCTGAGCTAGAGGTCTAAGTTGCTGGCCATAGGTAGAGAATGTATACTGGGTCTTCTGTAGCAACTGGAATATTTTTTAACCAACTGAGGTGCTTCTGGTGTTAAGTTAAACTTTAGAGATGTGTAAAGGTTTATGTGACTTGGCCTGAAATGTTTACAGTATTTCCTTATTAACATGAAAAGGATGTGGTTTTATTAACTATTACTGAATGATGAGTTTTATGTATTACAAGCGCTTCTTCTAAGATACTAAGAAAGCGGGTTTATGGAGGAGCATGACACCATCTCTTGCCTTTTTATTGCGGGAAAGATCATGACAATATGCCATTTTACTCACATCACATGAGGTAAATGTATGTCACATTGAAACAAAAGAAAAGTAAGAAAAGATTCCTTGAAACTTAACCAGTTCCTCTATTGTCCCAAGAGTAATACGAGGCAATTAACATGAACTTTTGTGGATTATTAGAACATTATTTCTCATGACTGGAAACAGCGTTATCATAAGGAGAAAAGTACGTTCAGTTCCAAAGTGAGACCAATTATCTAGAGCAGGAGGGAAGCAATCTGCAGGCTCCCATTTTTGCAGTCTCTAAATCTCCTCTCCCAAAAAATAATACACTGCCAAAATGTGCAGCATGATCCCTTACTCTTGCTTTTTCCCTTTTCATGGCTTGAGGCTTAAAATAGTTATGCTTAATCTCTAGGGTAATAAAATATCTGTTTTGTGTAAGACAAAAAATGAACTGCTTCCAAAATCAAGAAAAAAAAAGGGCCTGAAATCTCAGCCCCACACAGTCTAGTAATATCATTCCATCATCAGTAGTGGACCTCAGAAGCCAAAACACGTTTAAGAATAAAATAAAACTGCAATCCCTGGAGGAAAACTATTTCCTACTCCTGACCTAGAGAGTAAGAGACTTCTTTACTGAAAGTATTTAGGACTAGGTTGGACAGCCATTTGTTATTACTTGTTCTAGCTCTTTCTTTCTTATAATGATTGGGATTTTGAGCAGATGGGCTAGAAGCCCGCATCCAGTTCAGATTGTGTTTAGAATGTGATGGACTTTAGGCTAAATCTTGCACAATGTACAGCAGTGTTTTTCAAATTTGGCAACTTTAAGAGGTGTGGACTTCAACTCCCAGAATTCCCCAAACAGCAACTTATCCCCTGCATGCTGGCTGGGGAATTCTGGGAGTTGAAGTCCATACCTCTTTAAGTTACCAAGTCTGAAAAACACTGATCTGGGGTAAGCAGATTTGATAGGATTACAGCTAGCAGTGCTAACTCTCTGAATTGTTTAATGTTGGAAGTGGTAATGTTGCGAGCAATAGCACCATTGGCCAGGTGTACAAATAATGGACAACCAGGGTTTTCCTCTATAGACCCCATGATAAGCCTCTCACATGGACCCCTCTCCCCTTTTATTTTAATTCATTATGTATTTTACTGTTGTTATAAACATTTTCTATCACATGATTATTTTTAAGACATTCAACAGAAACTAAAAGATAGAAAAAATAAAATGCAATCCACTAAATTATAGCAAAATTTACAGCTGGCTAACTGTAACTGGGGACTCTTAAGCTGCAGTGGCATGCTGGTTAGCTGAGGTCTCCTAAGAACTCTTAAATAGTCCCATGAGTGACAAGCAATTGGAGTTTGGGGGGAAAAGAAGTTAGGAGTTTCTTCCTTCTCAGTCAGTCTTGGCTGGAGGCCTGCAGAATACAAGAACCTGGAGAAAACGTATTTTATGTGACTGAGCCTCAGAATGCATACCCATAGCCTATAGAAACTGGAAGGTAAAGGTAAAGTTGGCAGGGATAGTTGCATGGGGGATTATTTATTTCTTTTAAAAGCTATCTGATCCCATTTTTGGTCTCCCTGGACTCATCTTCACATCCCCCTAACTGTGGCATAAACATGCCCTCATAGCCATTTTTACATGCTATCTCCTTATGACGTTATGTTCATCTCATCCCCAGCCCACAGATGAGCAGCTGAAAGTTCTCCAGAAGTTTCCCTTTTCTCCAGATATAATATTGGGCCTAGATACAATCTAGCACCCTTCACTGATAATGTAGCTGCTGACAGTGGACGCTGCCCAGTTCCGATTTATGACTTTAGGCTGCTATGGGGCAGGCATCCTCCCTCCAGTTTTTGGGAATTACCCTCCATGGCCAGGTTGGATTGAATAGCAGGAAACACCAGATACCTGGCTTCTACAGAGGTATCTGCCTACCTAATGCCTGACTTTGGGTTTATGAAGTGCTTCTCAGGTCTTACACAATTTCTTGTATGCACAAGTTTAGAGCTCTTTTGAAACAGCACTCGATTTGTTGTTAACACAGGTTGAGAATGCTAGACCTGTGCTGCCCTGAAAGTTAATTTAAACCAGGGAAGAGAGCTGGGTTTTGTTAGTTTCATCTTCAACAAGTGTAGGGCAATCTTTCCACTGCTTCTGCCAACAATGGGTTTCACACGGCTGTACTGTTTATTATTTTGATTATCCAGAAGGGATATCATTTTTTCTATTTCATTCCAGCTGTATGGGTGTCCATGGACTACTTCCAGATCAGCTGACCACAAGGTCAAAATTAGGCTCACTCCCATCATTGCCATTCCCTTGCACCATTATCTATCTATCTATCTATCTATCTATCTATCTATCTATCTATCTATCTATCTATCTATCTATCTATCAAATTTGGTCACCACCCATCTCACCCACTAGGAAGTGACTCTGGGCAGTTTACAGTAAAAACAAAAAATTAATATTAATTAAAACACAGTAAAAATACAATAAAAAACATATTCATAGATAAATAATATCTTCCAAGGTGCTGCTGGTAGAAAGGATATTAACATACAGGAGCATCTTCAAGGTGCTAGCCATCCCCAGGGTTGGTTGCCTCTTTTTTCTCCCTCTACAAGTTGGCAGAGCCAGGTCTTAACTGCTTTCCAGAAGGTTGGGAGAGTAGGGGGTCTGCCTCAGCTCTGGGGGGAGGGTATTCCAAGTATTATCAGTTGTTCCTTCCTGTTTCACCTTATGTCCATCCTCCTTACCTGTTTCCTGTCAACCAGATTATTTTTGGACAGAGGTCCAACTCTTTCAGAAGAGCTTGGCATATTACTGATCACTCCCTCCCATTTCAACCCTTCCATGCCTATGGCTGTTCTCCTGGGCTATTTTAGGTAGGGGTTTAGCTCTCTTTCAGAAGAACCCTAGAGACTATTCAGAAATAGCCTAATTGAAGGTCACAAGCACAGAGTATCTCCATACCTATTACTTGCCACTGTGACTTAACCCTTATCTAAATATGCCATGCCAAGCACCTGCCTACACTTGCCCAAGGCCATCCAACATTAAGGAGAATGATTGGTGGTTGTTTTCCCACAGCTAAGCAGTGGTAGGGGAATAAAGCAGCCTCTTTCCATATAGCCTAAAATGTATAAGGACAGCATTATTTTCTGGCCTTATTATCAAAGCAGAATAGGGCTCTTCAGTTGGGGCAGCAAATGTTATGCTGAGATCATTTTCTACTGGTTCAGGGGCTTCAATGTGTTTGTCTGGTTATACTCTCTATTTCATTGTCTGTTTGTTCAGTCTTTGATCAATCATGGAGCGCTAGCCATCTTTTTAAAAAACTTATTCTTGGGGGGCAGGGATTTCCTGTTTTGCTCCACTTAGGCTCTTGGAAGGTACACTTCCAAGATTCAAGGGAAGCGTAGTAGCAGTATAACTACCTACCCTGGTGGAACTCTTTCGCCTGTGGGAATAACCACAAGCTCAAGTACAGGGCATCTGAGAATGCCACCTCACAGATACAATGGGGGAGAATTCCAAAATTATCAAATCAAGTACAATCAGCAGAATATTACTCTTTTGTCTCCTTTCCACAGCAGATGATCCATCAGGTGTCCAGGGTTGATTCTGTTCAAAATCAAGTCTGAACCCAGACTGAAAAAAGTAGAGATAATTTGTATCCTCCAATAACATATGTAAATGCACAGATACCCATCCTCTCAAGAACCTAACCGCCCCCCCCCCCCCCCCCCCC